ATTTCTTCACAACCAATCCATTTCCATCCTCAAAGACAACTCTGCAGGGCAGTTCTGACGAAAGGTCCTGTACAACAGGTCACAATGAGATCATTGAACTAATTGCTCAGTACTGTATAATCAAACTAACATTGTTGATCGTATCCCTTCTCCTTTAGATTTGAACTTTCTCCCACCATTGATACACTTAAATACAACTTCATAATATCGTATCTTGTCAGAGAGTTGTCGGTTTACACGCCTTTTAGCGGCATCTACTGTCCTGCAATCCCTTTTCCACCATTGAGTATAAGTAGCTTTTTCATACTGCTTCAACTTAGCTTCCAGCTCATCATAAGACTCAAATCGTTCCCCAAGCACGAAAGAAGGTACTTGGGGCCGAGCTTTAGCTTCAGAATGTTCGGCAGAAGAAACAGACTTTGAAAAGACAGCTGCCATGATTAAGCACGTGTGTAAACGGGCGTGGTTTAGGCACCACGTGATCATGCCGGTTCTATAAGACCTTGAAAATGGGAACCGGTACCGGTTCCGTAGCCACTTCCTTTTTCTTTTCAATGTAGATTTTATTGTTAAGCTAACAGAATCATGTGACCTTGTATTATCAGTTGTTGGCACAAAGTGTATTTTACTATCTTAATTTAGATCTAATAAAAATAATGAATATTGTTATGAAGCCACGCCTAATCAATGAGCTACTCCCTCTTTAAGATTTGCAAAAGATGCTTGGCATGAAGATGTTCTTTTGTTGTGTAGAAAGTTTGAGATGATAGTTTTGATCAAGTTTAAATTTTTAAAGTTGTTCAAAAATCAGGTCAAAGTACACTTATGTATACAGACATTTTGAAGTGATAATTTTATATGCATTGTGGTTTAACACAAATTGCAAGAATAAAAACATTCCAAAAATTCATTCTCTGGAGAAAAAAGATGAGGCTTACCTTTTAAAAATTTTAAAAGTTTAGCTTTGTATCTCAACCATGTATTAAGCTCAAAACTTCCTTATTTGTATGAAAAATTTTGTTATTGCTCCATTTGCTTTTTTTTCACTTCTTAAAACTATTGTCTTTCAACTAACATAAATATTTTATAGCTATAACACAAACACAATATGCATTAATTTAAGTGGTAGTATTAAATATATGTTTATTTGCATCACTAATAGTGTACATGATGAAAGATGAGTGGGAACATTATTAAAAAGGTGGTACTTCGTATTCAGAAGTCTCAGGCCTGTTTGATGATCTATTTATTAATGTACTTTATTTTCAATTAATGCAGTAACTAACTTTGCTTTAAAATCAATTGTAGCATAAGTTGGAATGCTTTGCAATGCAATGTCGTTCTCTGGTTCTCTATAAGTCATAGTTTTTAAAATGTCATTTTAATGAATACTCATTTACCTCTTTTGGTCTGTTCTTTTCATATGCAAAACAATTACCAATACAGCCAGTGCTATGATAGGTATATAGACTACAGTCACACCAACTATTAATCCAGTGG